GGGTGGGTGAAAGACCCGAGCTAACATGGGGTTAGCTCGTTAAATTACAATAAAGCCTCGTGCAGTTTGCAGCAAGCTCTCGAATCCGCCTGGTGATTGGGGTGACCGCGAACCTGGCCTGGGACCCCGGATACTTGAGTTTTCGGGGGTCTAACAGTAGTAGTAGTAATAGTAGTAGTAGTAGTAAATGGAGTACTTAATTGGTCTAGATAATTAAAAACCCGGAGTCAGATATAGAGGGAAATGCTGAGAGATCAGAGAGAATGAGCAAGCCACAGCCACACCTTACCTCCTTAGCGTCTCAGCAGACAAGAGAGTGAGTTCCTGTTTCTCCCTCCTCTATCCTGCTCCGGCCCAGCTATCTCACTTCCTGTCTGTCTGTACAAACCTCCAGACTTCTATGGTTAGCTAGTGGCCAGCTCCATTCACTGACCTTCAGACAGGCTTTATTTGTACAAGCAAGATATCACCACATCTGACCCTGACCCTGAGTGCAGTGCCCATGCGGGTCAGAAGACTGCCTCAGCCTTCCTGCTGCTGGAGTTGCAGGAGGTGGTGAGCTGCCCTCTGTGGGTGCTGGGAACTGAACTAAGGACCTCTGTCAGTGCACTGAGTCATCCTTCTAGCACCAGCAACTTTTTTTTTTCTTTCGGGACAGGGTTTCCCTGTGGTTTTAGAGGCTGTCCTGGGACTAGCTCTTGTAGACCAGGCTGATCTCAAATTCACAGAGATCCGCCTGCCTCTGCCTCCTGAGTGCTGGGATTAAAGGCGTGCGCCACCAACGCTCAGCCAGCACCGTGTTTTATAATTTGCAAAACCATAGCATTCGTATGGTGCCTTGATGGTGATACATGGGAATTCAGTTTGGAAACTGATGGCTTTAAAAGGTAATATAAACACATTATTAAGTACAACTCATATATAATATGTCCATCCATTAGAACATGATTTTAGTGGTGGTTGTTAAAGTCCCCAAGGCCATCTCTTGGATCTATGGCTTCTGCTCTTGCCAGCTTCTCTTGCACAATGTGTCATTATTTCTGTCCATATCAAGGGATTTTGTTGTTGTTGTTGTTGTTTTGGATTTTTTGAGTCAGGGTCTCATTATGCATCTCTGACTGTCCTGGAACCCACAATGCAGACCAGGCTAGCCTTAAACTCACAGAGATCCACCTACCTCTGTCTCCCAAGTGCTGGGATTAAAGTTGTGTGTCACCACACCCTGCTATGGAGTTAGTTAAATATGTGTTACATTTGTTTATGCTGTGGAACATTTGTTTAATGATGCAAACATGTGTTGCATTGTAAAACTCTGTGAAGCTGTGTTACCTTGCTTGTCTAAAACACCTAGGTGGTCTAATAAAGAGCTGAATGGTCGGGGGCTGGAGAGATGGCTCAGAGGTTAAGAGCACCAACTACTCTTCCAAGGGTCCTGAGTTCAATTCCCAGCAACCACATGGTGGCTCACAACCATCTGTTATGAGATCTGGTGCCCTCTTCTGGTGTGCAGATATACATGGGAGCAGAATGTTATATACATAATAAATAAATAAATAAATAAATAAATAAATAAATAGAGTTGAATGGTCAACAGCAAGGCAGGAGAAAGGATAGGCAGGGCTGGCAAGCAGAGAGAATAAATAAGAGGAGCAAGAGAAGGGAGACAGAGGAGGACATCAGGGGCCAGCCACCGAGCTACATAACAAGCCATAACAAGAAGAATAAAGAAAAGTATACAGAGTAGAGAATGGTAGAAACCCAGAGGCAAATGGTAGACAGGATAATTTAAGTTAAGAAAAGCTGGCTAGAAACAAGCCAGGCTAAGACCAGGCATTCATGAGAAAGAAATAAGACACCTGTGTGTTTATTTGGGAGCTGGATAGTGGGCCCTCCAAAGAGCCAAAAAGAGTAAAACAACAACACCCATCTTCAAAGATTAAAAAAAAAAAATAGGACCTCACCATATAGCTCAGGAGGGACTTAATCCATAATTCTCAGGCTTCAGTCTTCGGGATGCTTTGATTATAATCTACAAAGCTGTTTTTGTTTGTTTGTTTGTTTTGTTTTTGTTTTTCGAGACAGGGTTTCTCTGTGTAGCTTTGGAGCCTATCCTGGCACTCACTCTGGAGACCAGGCTGGCCTCGAACTCACAGAGATCCGTCTGCCTCTGCCTCCCGAGTGCTGGGATTAAAGGCGTGCGCCACCAATGCCCGGCTTACAAAGCTGTTTTTAATAGCAATTCTTTTCTAGCATTTGGAGGCTAGATAAGCATTACTTATCTAGATAAGTATTCCATTTCCTCTGTTGCTATGAATTATTAATTCTATAGATGGGCAGATGTAATTTTATCTGACCTGGCCATCAAATTATGCCAGCAGTCTTCTACTTTTAAGAAGGCTTCCTGTTACCGCTGGATAACCCTAATATCTGTGAGATAAACGGAATGTAAACAGCATATACCATAAATCTACAAATATGGGGTATGATGATGCAGAGTAACTATGGATAATGCTATGTCCTGATATCAACGGCAAAGCCTAGCTAGCTGTTCATTTTCTAAAAGTATTTTCTTTACTATTACTATTATTGTTATTACTACTCCTATTATTGTTGTGTGCATGAGGTGTCTGAGCATGGACCTGGCAGGCCATGATGCATGTGTGGCCGGCAGAGGACAATGTTGAGAGCTCGCTCTCTCCACTCGGAGTTCCAGGACTCTAACTCGGGCTTTTCTGCCAAGGGCTTTTTACCAGTTAAGCCTTCTTGCTGGCTGCTGCTTTCTTATTGTTTCCAGATTTATCTCCATACAAAGCTCTGTTGTTTTCTTTTGGCTCAGAACTTGCTTTGTAGACCACTTGGCTTCATACTCATAGGTCCTGGCCTACTGGAGCCTCCTGAATGCTGGGATTAAAGACACACACACACACACACACACACACACACACACACACACACACACACCAAGCTGCTCCAGGTCAAAAGTTCACTTATTTTAAATGGCAGCAACACCCTTTCCAGCAATAGTCCATACAGTTCTCAGTTACGTAAGGGCAATGGCTGTAATAGCCTATTGCTGTCATTGAATGAGTGAAAAGAAACATGGGTTCCAGGGACACCGAGGTGACATGAACATGGCATATGAAGGGACCGGGAAACATCTGAAGTGACACTTACCAGTCTGCAGAGCATGTGACGAGCTGACAGTTGATGCCACTCCGATTTTCAAAGACACAGCCCATTCTGTTAATCTGTTTAATGTGTTTTAAGAAAAGAAAATTCTGTAAATGAATAGTAGTAGATTCCTTCTAAGGCTGCCTCTGGTTTCCCTAGCCATCAGACATATATAAGAGTCTCAAAACATAAAAACTATGGTTAAAAAAGTAAATTCTGAGTAGCTAGAGATGATTTTTCTCATAATTATTTTCCTTAAAAGTCTTCTTCTTTAAAAAAGTTTTGTTAAGAGCTGGGCATTGGTGGCATACGCCTTTAATCCCAGCACTCGGGAGGCAGAGGCTCACAGATGGATCTCTGTGAGTTTGAGACCAGCCTGGTCTATAGAGTGAGTTCCAGGAGAGCCTCCAAAGCCACAGAGAAACCCTTTCTCAAAAAACCAAAAAAAAAAAAAAAGTTTTGTTAAAATATCATCAACACTATCATAGACATTTGGAATCTGAGTTTTAAGATCAAATACAACTCTACTTTGAATTCTTATCCACTTTCTTTTCACAGAATTTTTTTATAGTTTTATATTTTATATGTTATATTTTTATGTAGTTTTAATTAGATGCATATCGATGTTGATTCTCAGATTTTCCAATTCACATAGCTAGAATTTAACAGCACATTCACAAATAGCTTTGAACATTTTGTAACATGTAGACGGTACACATCATTTCACTATTCACTAGCTGTAGAAACGCAGGCCTTCCAGTTTTTCAAATGTTGAGACCAGTATGGATTTCATGAGACTCTTAAACAAGCAAGCTCAACAGAAAAGGAAATTGATGGTGGCTGGGCATTGTGGTGCATGCCTTTAATTCCTGGTCTACATAGAGAGTTCCAGAACAGCCAAGGCTGCATAGAGAGACCCTGTGTGCCTAAACTCACCAATTCTTTTTAAAGGATAATAAAAGGAAAAAACAAAACTGATGGTGTCCACTGTCAAATTACTGACAACTCTGCAAGCACACAGAGGATCTTCAGGCTCCTCTCATGGTCCTACAAGGTCCAGAGTCCCCATTAACTACTTGTTGAGGAGGCTAAAGGGTTGGGAGCAACTTGTGAAGGTGACTCTCTCAAATGTATATGGGAGCATGACTTTCTTGATAGGCTTCATGAGTAAAATAGTGGACAGTGATGGGCATCCAGCAGGGCTGAGTGATGATGAGATGCTGTAGCCAGTCCTGTAGGCATCACACCAGCTTGGCAACTGTAGACCAGGTTGACCCACCCTCAGCTCCCAACCCTTTTTGGTTGGGTGCTGAATGTCGACTTCCATTGGATTTGATAGAGTAAGAGTCTCTCAGTCTATTAAGTCCACCCTGAGGGTCTCAGAGATTCATCACTCTAGAGCCTTACATTTTAAAGATTTAGAACTCTGTCTGGATTATCTTTGTCAACTCGACATAGCCTAGAGTCAAATAATAGGAAAACAGTGGTTGAGGAATTGCCAGGATCCAGTTGGCATCCATGTGGGCATGTCTGTGGGAAATTATCTTATTCCTTGGTGCCTGAGGGCCCAACTTATTGCGGGTAGAACCATCCCTAACAGGGTGATTCTGGGCTACATAATGCTGGGCTGTAGTGGTGCATGCCTTTAACCCAGCACTCGGGAGGCAGAGCCAGATGAATCTCTGTGAGTTTGAGGCCAGCCTGGTCTACAGAGCAAGTTCCAGGACAGCCAAGGCTACCAGGAGAAACCCTTTGTGGAAAACAAGCAAACAAAAAACAAAACAAGAAAGTTGGCTAAGCATGAGTCCAAGAAGGAGCCAGTGGGAAAGCCAGCAAGTGGGATTCCTCCAAGTTTCTGCTTCAGCTTCCAATCGTGTCCTCCCTCAAGGATGGAAGTGTAAGACAAATAAATAAACCCTTCCCTTTCCTACGGTGGTTCAGTCAAAGCATTTTATTACAGCAACAGAGAGTAAGCTAGAGAAAGCTCCTAGAACAACAATACTATTTCAGAAGCTAGGAAAATATATTTTATGAACTCAAGAGGGACTGTGGATAGCTCAGTGGGTACAGTGCTTGCCAAGTGTGCCCAGAACCTTGACTTCAACTCCAGCAGCACCAAATACACTGGGCATGGTGCACACCTCTGTAAGCCCAACACTTGGGAGGAGGAGGCAGGAGGATCAGAAAGGCCATCTTTGACTCCATAAGAAGTTCAAAGCAGGTCTGGGATACATATCACACACACACACACACACACACACACACACACGCATGCACGCACGCACGCAAGCACGCCTAACAGAATTTGGGTTGATGGTGGCTTGGTGGTTAAGAGCACTGGCTGCTCTTCTAGAGGACCAAGATTTGATTCCCAGGACCCACCCAGCCATCAACGCTCACCTCAAATGAGTCTGGCAGCCAGTGTATGTCTGTGATTACTTTTCTATGTCCGTTTTCTATTGAAGACACTGCACAGTGTCTGATGTACATTGCTTCTTTGTTGCTGTCTGGTTCAAGGAGAAACATAGGCTACAGAAATGTTAAAAGAAAGTTACATTTCAGAGAGAGCTGATGGGTGAACTCCACTTTACTGACTATTGCAGTTAAAATAGAAAAATCCAGAGTCATATCATTTAAGGGAAAAAATGCAAATTAGTGTTTCAGTATTCCTGGTATTCAGTAACAGACTTACCAACTTGCCCTTTCAATGCAGTTTAATCACTAAATTGCCAAGGATTTTTTGCCCAATCTATTCTTGAAGGAGTGTTTCCATGGGTATGGGGACGCATAATACATCCTACCACTGCTCAATGAGAGCCCTATGGATCCCAAGGCTGGAGAAGTGGGGCTGGAGGGATTCGGGATATGGAGGGTGAGTACCGACCTGGAGGCTGACTGCTCTTCCCAGCACTGCCAAAGGAATCCACAGCCTCACAGAATCATAACGTATTTTCTTAATTTAAAATTCACATTATTTAATTTATTTTGTACAAGTGTACATGTATGTGTGTGTGCTTGAATGTGGATGTCAGAGGACAGCTGGAGGGAGTCAGATATCTCCTTCCACCATGTGGGTCTCAGGGATGGAACTCAGCTCATCAAGATAGGTGATAGGCACTTTTACCCATGGTCACCCCTTCATCTTATACATGTGAACTGACTCTTGGAGAGGTGAGGTGGCATGGCCAAGCTTGTGAGATGCCACCTGGATAGCCAGCCTTTTCGTCCTTCCATCTTTGGACAAATTATTTGCTTCCTTCATTTTCTTTAACAATAAACACAGTGGCCGGGCGTTGGTGGAGCACGCCTTTAATCCCAGCACTTGGGAGGCAGAGGCAGGTGGATCTCTGTGAGTTCGAGACCAGCCTGGTCTACAAGAGCTAGTTCCGGGACAGCCTCCAAAGCCACAGAGAAACCCTGTCTCAAAAAATAAACACAGTGACAGAACCCCATAAAATTGTGCTGGCCAATGAAACCTGTTTTGCTGCGTCTTTAGTGAACACCGCCATAAAAAAGTGATTCAGGACAATGCCTGCAAGCAGATGTGAAGGATGCTAGAATAAAATTATTGCCGTGTTTCTTATGCCGAGTCTTTAAAAATCTTGGAGAGAGGCTGGAGAGATGGCTCAGAGGTTAAGAGCACTGCTTGCTCTTCCAAAGGTCCTGAGTTCAATTCCCAGCAACCACATGGTGACTCACAACCATCTGTAATGAGATTTGGTGCCCTCTTCTGGCCTGTAGGCATACATGCAGGCCTGAACACTGTACACATAATAAATAAATAAATCTTTAAAAAATTAAAAACTTGGTGAATCGTAGCTCAAAATGACCTGCTCACAGAGATCCTCCTGGCTCTACCTCCCAAGTGCTGGGATTAAAGGCATGCACTACCAATGCCCAGCTGTTATATGCGTTTGAACTCAGTATGTAGCTCAAAATGACCTGCTCACAGAGATCCTCCTGGCTCTACCTCCCAAGTGCTGGGATTAAAGGCGTGTGCCACCAATGCCCAGCTGTTATATGCGTTTTTCTACACTCTTTTTGTTTTTCTTTTCAGATTTTTTTATTTGAATTAGAAACAAGATTGTTTTACATGACAATCCCAGTTCCCTTCTCCCTCCCTTCCTCCCCTACCACCCCCCCAACTAAAACCCTACCTATCGAATAGCCTTTCTTCTATTCTTCCCCTGACTCAACCTTTCTGGTCCCCCATGACCTCTGCATCCTTCCTCTTCTTCCCTTCTCATTCTCGTAGCTCCCTCCCCCCTCTTCCCGTGCTCTCAATTCTGCTACACTCTTGAATGGATAAAAGCATCCTTGTGAGTGAAAAGCTATTGATAGCCAACCTTGAGAGTGGCCTTTTTACTTCTGCTGCTACCAGCCTTAATGTTTTCTATGCGATCTGCATGTGAGGTGATATCCCACAGGACAACCTAAAACAGAGAGAAAGGTCAGGATAGCGTTTTCAGGATATAGAGGCCTGGGCCTGGGAGATTGCTTTATAGGAAGTGAGTGGTATACAGTCTGAGAAAATCAATCACCTTAGGGTGTAATCCAATCTAGCCTGTAGCCTACTAACTCACAACTTCTTGTGGTGATATTTTGTTTATGATTTAGTAAAGCTTGCCTGAAGATGAGAATGCAAATCTAAGCACAGCCATAGAGGTCAAGCAGTGGTGGTGCACACCTTTGACCCCAGCACTAGAGAGGCATATAAGACAGGCGCTCAGGGTCTCATGTTGTAGTCAGACTGCAATCATGCTGAGGACAGGATTGCCCAGCCTTGCTAGAGGTAAGAACTCTCTAGTGGTTGGCTGCTTTGCTTTTCTGCTTTTCAGCTTGAACCCCAGTATCTGTCTCTTGGTTTCTATTATTCATACTACAACTTGTAGAGCAGATACGGAAGAGAATGTTTTCATCTCTCCATCAGTATCTGCAACTCTTTGCTCTATGTTCATGGATGCTGTTATTGAGTAAATAAATGCAAGACAAATACCATGCACTTCCCTATGCTTTGGTAAGATTTTGACCTTTGCTCTGCTCTGAGTCTACGTATAACTGCTTCAAGACGTGGGGTGGGGGTGGGGCAAAATTTACCCAGATTCTTAAGAATTAAGTACGAACATCCAATCATGGGGAAGAAAGACAGACATCTTAATTGCCTCTAACTGCTAACTCAGGATTTTTATG